CCCCTTTAGTTTCTTTGGGCATTCCTCGTATCCAAATGATGATACTCTAATCCTTCCACCTGCTGGGGTCATCCAAATATGTACTCCACTCCATATACCATTAACCGCCTAGAAGATGAATTCTCGCCTCCTCTACTGGGACCGGTTTTGAATTCCCACATTTTCAATAAGTTAGAATCTTTAGTTACTTTTATGCAGAATTTGGTTATATCATGACTTCAATATCAAGAATTATGTCCAGCACCATCATAGCATGAATTTGTATCTAAATATAATAGCTCTTTTCATTATAATTGTATTGGCCCACGAGAGAGAGTATAACACTCTTTCCTAGATTTGTAATATTGAGAGATTTTTGTCTATTGAATGAAAGTAAGGTAATACTTGGAGCTATACTTGTTAGGTCTTTTTGTTACTTCTGGCCTAATTTATTCACTTCCACCATTAAAAATTGTTGCCCTTCCTAAAGAGTTTGCTTCTCAATTAAACTGCTACCATTATTTTCCCATTATATTCTTTGTTAATTGTCACGACCCAATTTCACCTATAGGACGTGATGGCGCCCAACGTCGCCGCTAGGCAAGCCAACGGTGAACTAGCCATGTATTTATTCTTTTTAACAATTTCGAAATAGTTGATTGTTATTTATTAAGTAAGAGGTGAAANATTCTACTGCCGAGGCGTTCGGCCCGCTCCACAAGAAGAGAGAATATTTATGAACATCCGATTTAAAAGCTATTACGAGGCCAAAACAAAGAAGCACAATTTCGATTAAGTGATTAACGGTCAAGTATCCCTCCAAAACTCAAGTAAGTGAAATTCGGTCTTTATAAATTTCTTAACAAGTTTCAATATAATTTAGGCACTTTAATTAATAAGTAGGGTGCAGACATTACAAGTATTTCATGATTTGGGTCCTAAGCTACCCGGACATAAGCATAATTAGTAGCTGCGCACGGAATCTCATCACCTCGTGCGTACGTAGCCCCCACAATTAGAAGCAAATAGTAATTTATATCACATATGAGGTAAATTCCCTCTTACAAGGTTAGGCAAGAGACTTACCTCGTCTCAAAGCTCACTTTCCGGTCACAAATTCACTCTAAGAATCCAACCTGGTGCCGAACAATCCGAAGCTAGCCAAATGTTATATAAAATATTCAATATACACTCAAAAGTTAATAATTTAGCTATTAGAGTAATTACCCAACACAAATTGGAAGATTCTTAAAATTCACCCTCGGGCCCACGTGTCCGGATTGCAAAAATTTTCGAAGATAATTGTTACCCATAACCTCATGGACTCAAATATATAATTTTCACCCAATTCCATAACCATTTTCGTGGTTAAATCCCATTTTTATCTAAACCTAGGTTTTTCAACAAAACCCATAATTTTCACTATTTTATATGTTAAAATCTACCCATAATCTATGTATTTAACTTAAATTGGGTAGGAGTTACTTACCTTTAATAACTAGGTGGAAACCCCTCTCTAAGAAGCTCAAAAAATCGCCCAAGAAGTGAAATAAATGAACCAAAATGGCCTAAGTCCCGTCTTAAATGAACCTCACTGTCTCTAGCGATTTCCGCTCCTGCGGACCATGGGCCGCACCTGGGGAAAATCCATCGCAGGTGCGGTCCTAGCCCAGGCCGCCTGACTTCACTTCTGCGGACGGGCTCCCGCTTCTGCGGAAAGCGGAGTCGCACCTACGGTCAAGGCCTAGCCAACCTCTTCTCGCACCTGCGGCCATTTCATCGCAGAAGCGAGGCCGTTTCTACGGATGATCCTCCGCTTTTGCAGGCCACTGACCTTTCGTCCAAAGCCTCTTCTGCGGGCTTCACTTCATTTCTGCGACCAAACCTCCGCAGAAGCGATCGCACCAGCAACAGAAAACTTCCAGCACTTCAACATGGCCCAAATCATCCGACCCATGTCCGAAACTCGCCCGAGCCACTCGGGGTCTTGACCAAATATACCAACAAGTTCGTAAACATAAAACGGACTCGCTCGCACCCTTAGGAACACGTGAAATAACATCAAAACTAAGAATCGCAACCCAAAACCTAATAGAATCAACTCATGAACTTCAAGTTCTTCCAACTTACTCCGAACGCGTCGAATCATACTTAAACTACTCCGAATCATACTTAACCATACGGAGCTATTCCTAGGCTCGGAATTCCAAACGGACCTCGATAACACCAAAACTTACTTCAAACCAAATTTTAAGAACTTTAAAACCTTCAATGAGCCAACTTCCAACTTTAGGCGCCGAAACGCTCCCGGGTCATCCAAAACCTGATCCGAACACACGCCCAAGTCCAAAATCATCATTCGAACCTATTGAGACCGTCAAATCCCGGTTCTGAGGTCTTTTACTAAAAATATTGACCCAAGTCAAACTTAACCTTGTAAGTCAATATTAAGGAACTAAGTGTTCTGATTTCAACCCGAACCCTTCCAAACCCGATCTAACTATCCCAGCAAGTCATAAAACAGTAAAGACACATACGGGGAGTCTTGTTTAAGGGAACGGGGTTCTAGAAGGCAAAACGACCGGTCGGGTCGTTACATTAATTTCATTTTTTTTGTCAGAATCACTCAGAACTGCTTAATGCGCATCAGTGTCGATGGTAACTTATGTTTCACTTTTATGTCGGTGAAACCTGTAAAAAGCAATTCAAGACATTGGGAGATAGTAAAATATGAATATATTTGTTCAAGGTCGGAACGCAATAAATTTGTTCATTTAAATCTCCCTTGATCCCTGGTTATGGAAACTTGATCTGCGAGCATGTACTACAGCTTCCATTGCAGCTTGTGTTGACTTCTCTTGTACTCCGTTTTAAGAAATTCAAACATAAGAAATGAAGATAAAATTAAGGATTATCAATTGTTCACGTTCTCTGGATTTGTCTGTCAAGTAAGTTGGGTATATGGAAAAACTATCTGCCTGCCTTGGATATCGTTTCTGCACAAGATTCATTCCTGTATCCATGGTTCGAAATATTCATGTCTTGCTTTTGTTCTATGCAGAGATACTGCAACGTACCGCCCCCTGATGAAGACCAACTTTGTCAGCCACTCTCTCAAATATTTAACCAAGACTTATCTAGGGCAAGTTACTTGCTTACTGTTATGTTTTTTACTTGGTTTTATCTTCTCTTATATTTTTGCTGGTCAAGTTTATGCATTATATTCCCATTCCGCGGTTGTACTTCGACAGTCCTCTGCTAGTGAAGAAAATGTTCTGTTACTGTTGGTTACTAGAAGCTTGAGTAGGCATTTCTGTGCAGAGTTGGTTGCTTCGTAGTTATTTGCTTCAACTGTTCTTAATACTATCTCTCCACTTCTGTGCTATGCTGACTGATAGTTTTCACCCAACAGATACGATATCCAAGTTGGTTTCCATGATCCTTACCAAGATTCTGTGTCTGTCATGCGGCTGTATAAGAGGATCCGCTCACAAGACCACCCGACGGAAGAGACCACGAGGGTACCAAATTCATCCCCAAGCTTTAACAGTATCTCTGATCCATGGAAATCCATGACACGCGAGAAAATGACACCAAACTACAGGTGTTGGTGCCTTGATTCTCGGGAAGCAGTGCAAAGGCGATGATGATGCTCTCTCCTTACTGATGAATCCAGTTATTAACTATACATCTGATCTGAGGTTGGCATTTTATCTTTTCAAGAAAATGACTTGCTCCCTTGATTGGGAAGGCTGTTATTCAAAAGCTACCTTGGAAATCTAGAGGCAAGGGGGAAGATTTTTGTGCATTTATAGATAATGACACTGCGCTAAGGTTTATTGTGGATTTACATTTAATTAGGAGGCTGCTGCAGAAGGTTTTTACTTACTGAAGTGTCAATGAGTAGAACTATATGTTTTTCCTTGGTAAAAGTTATACCTTATTTGCCATAATTTCATCCTTGGGGGATTCTTCTAGTTTGATACTTCAGCTTTAATTCAAAGGAAATAGAATTACTGGATTTTGTTATTGCAATTTTACGGTCTCTATAATGTGTTAGTAGGAAAGTACATATGCTGCAAATGTTGACAGCTAATTAAGAAACCAATTTCGAATGGATTGAGTGATTAGAGAGATTATTATCTAATTGGATTAGTGTAAATTTTTCATGCAATATCTTGTTTGCAATTTCAATTGACCCCATGGAGTGTAAAGTTCTACTAGTAATATAATATGAGCACTTCAGTATAGGTTTTAAAGAAGTCATAGCTTGTGCTAGAAAGTTGCAATGTAGTTGGGTGACCACAATCTAGCTGAGAATCCACACTTTGAAAAAGATGCTGAAACTCCTAAAAATGGGTACGTTATTGAATTCATATGATTAAACCTAGATTTTGACTTTATCCTCTCCCCCCTAAAGATTTAAGTTACATACTGTAATAACATAATGAATTTTGTATACATTGATCCAACTTAACATGTTATAGCATCTTACTTATTATTTTTCCTAAATTACCTATTAATATTAAATAGAATTACTTACAATTACTAATTAAGTAATCTAATTATTTAAATATATTATACAACGTTGCGTTAGTGCATATAACTTCCACCCCTAATAATGGACCATAAAGTCCTTTTCTCAATTCGTCCTCGGACTGATCCTACACTTTTCACATGTAAGAGCCGGGACGATTCCAAATATCTGACTGCACAAACTGTTTTAAGGCATCAAACTAAACAAGTATCTCGCCATAAAATAATTAGAACTTCTTCACAATTAACTAAAGTTACTTTAAAGGTTGAACAGTTAAAAAGAGGAAATACAAAACTAAATTCACACAAACATCTTTTTATAGCTCTAAGACCAAACTTAAAAAAATATTTTGTTCAATATCCCGCAATGATCTAGAAACCGGAGTAGTATTTTTTACTCAAATATTTGGGCAATTTTTTTGAAAACGATAGGTGGGTCAGCAAAGTGTAATAGGGGTCAAAAGAGAAAAATCAAAGAAGCAAAAGCCTTCAAAACTGACTCAATTATATTTCCAAGTCTTCCCCTACACAGAACGAAAGAGCCAACACTTGGAAACTTCTTTCCCCATTAGTCCAAATTTTGAACAGCTCTAGTACTATTCATGACATGAGAGAAGAAGATTTTCAGATCTAAAGCTTAAACACTAAGTAAATCGCCATGGCAGCTATGGTGTCCTCTGTACAAATACAATCAAACCTATGGGATGGAGTGATGGAACTGACCAAGTCGGCTCAGCAGAAAGGCACCGACCCTTTGATGTGGGCCATCCAACTTTCTTCCAACCTTAACTCTGCTGGACTCTCCATGCCTTCCACCGACGTCGCCAACCTTCTCGTTTCTCATATCTGTTGGGCTAATAACGTTCCTATTGCTTGGAAGTTTCTAGAGAAAGCTTTGACCCTTCGTGTTGTCCCTCCTATGTTCGTTCTCGCTCTTCTTTCCACCAGGTTAGCTTACTTGCCATTTATTCGAGATTACCAATCAATGTTATTAAGTGGCTTGATTGCTATAGAACTAAAGTTTATATACCCGACCTATTCAGGCGGTTAATATAATTAAACAAAATGTTCAACTCTAATTTTAAAGTTTAAGCTTTTAGCTGAGGTGATAACCTATTCGATATAGTTTCTAGGTTAAATTCTAACAACTACGCAGTAATAGAAAGTATTTTCATGAGCTTGTACTAATAGAAAAGAATGAGCCCCCGCCACGTAGATGAATGTTGAGACATACGTAATTAGATTAAAAAAAAGTGTCCTATTCCTAATGATAATTTAGATGAGGTGGTCATACAGTTTAAGAAATGCATTTATCTTTATTAGTTTCTCGTGATGTTTCGTATTGTAATGAAATTGGCTTGTATACTATTGCCCCTAGGGCTTTGGTAGATTACGAGTTTGAATCCGTGAACCAAGTATTATATTTAAGTGGAGAAGGGTAGAGGGGTGAGTCCATTATCCACCAATTTTCAAGGCTATGAACAATGGATTTCTCAGTTACAAAAAAAGTGAAATTGGCTGTTATAGAACATGATAGATATAGAAGATTCGTATAGCCAACTCTAACTAGTTTGTGATTGAGGTGTGGTGATTGGTTAATGGATTTTTAGTCTTTGTTTTTTGTTCACGCTTTTTTTCCTTTTTTTCTCTTTGCAGAGTGATCCCTGCTCGAAGGAGCTATCCAGTGGCGTACAGGCTCTATATGGAACTTCTAAAAAGATATGCATTCTCATTGGCATCTCTGATTAATGGTCCAAATTATCAAAAGTACACCTCGTTTCTTGTATCCTCTCTTCAGTTCATTTCACATAGCAGCATTTTGTTTGTTCATATCCTTTATTACTTCAGACGAGTATTTATGCATGTTGGTCATTAATACTTCATCTGCATTTTATTAAGTTTAATCTTAGCTTTAAAAAACATTGATGTGATATAGCATTTGAGTTGACACCGTGGACTACCGCAAGATGGGAATTCATTTATTAATTTGTTTAGATTTTCTGGTTAGATGGTGGGCTTGGAGAAGGTGGAAAGGTAATTGGGGTGAAAAAGGAAAGCGTACATTTATTTACTTTTGAGTTAAAGTAGGTTTTTGGTCTTCCTTTCCTTGGACACTTTGTCCACCTAATTAAGTTGACAACGTCAGTAGATAACATTCCAATTTTTGACCGTCCCGGAGGCCAGAGTATCACTTCTTTTTCAGGAAAATATTAATTGAGATTCTAATTCCAAAAAAATCATTATTTAAGGGGCTCTTCTTTCCTAAGTTGCTCTGACGGGGCAGTTTAGGTGTCGCCCCCGTGTCGACACGACACTGATGTGGGTGTGGGTATGGGATCCGTACCGGATCTGGTCAAAAGATTTTGGGTACTTTGACCATGACGGGTGAAAAAATTCGAGACGAGATACAATTTAATTCCCGAGATCAGAACCCAAACTAGGGTAAATTTAAAGAAAATGGCTTACCTTATCTTGGAAATGGATCCTTTACTTTCTGCTTCAGTGCTTCTCCTCTTGATCGAGCAGAAAGAGCAGCAGAGAATATCAATTGAGATTGGGGAAGACGGAGCATTCGAGAATTTGGGAAAGTGCAAGATTTTGACTTTATTTGGATATTATTATATTTAATACTATTGTACCCTTTGTAGTGAAAGCTTGACACACACTAACTCTGATTTTTATAATAATAATTAGAGATCTAATCTAAATTATAAAATTAATATTTAACTGTATATGAAGGTAACTATAAAAAAAGTTAACCATTAGGAGAATCCGAGAATGGAATAAAATCAAGAAATCATGCCTACAACTTGAGAATTAAAAAAAAAAATTCACACTTTACAAGCTATAGGTAAGTATTCCACAATTTTTTTCATAATTTAGAGATATTTTTATATTTTATATTTTTATTTTTTTGAATTATTTTTACCCGGATCCCCGCACCCGTATCCATACCAGGATCCGCATCTCCGAATCTTAGATTTTACATTTCGAAGGATCCGACCTCTAGATCCGCACCCCCCGTGTCAGACACCCGAACCCGTGTCCGAGCAACTTAGCTTCCTCTTCCCGTAATTTTTATTGTTTATATATATTCAATTGTTCGCCTGCTGAGCACCCCTTTCCAAGATGAGGATTTTTTAAATTCCATCTAGCAAAGTTCAGATGATCATTATTCTAGTGAAAATGATATAAGTGGAACTCATAGGAACTATAATTATTTTTTCTCACTTTATGGTCCGGGAATTTTCCTGTCTTTAGTACCCCAGAGATCATAAGATATCCATATAAATGAAAAGTGTATTGACTCAGAATTGCCAATTTATTTTGAATTTGTTTGAACTAGTGCAAATGCAGTCAACTAATTTAGTATCAACAGTTAATAAATGTGAATAAATTTGCAGGATCATGGAAGCAATAAATGATACATTACATCTTTACCAGATATTTGGACTTCAAGGATCTGAAAGTGGTCTAATTATGGTTGAATTTGTTTTTGCTATTGTATGGGAGTTACTTGATGCGTCCCTTGATGATGAGGGAGTGATGGAACTGACTGCTGAAAAGAAGTCCAGGTGGCCTATTACATCTCAAGACATGGAATTGAATAATCATGATGCTTTTGCTGGGGGAAGAGCAGAAAAGCATGAAGGATTATGTAAAATGAACACAGTTATGGCTATTGAAATAATTGGTGAATTTTTTCGAGATAAAGTGACTTCTGCGATCCTTTATTTGGCACGCAAGAACATGTAAGATCATATAGCTTTATTTTCTCAACTGCTGCTTTTGTTAATAGTGACAGTACCCCTCACACAAGTTTGCATATTACCGGTTGCCTTTTTTCACTGTTTGGTTAAGCAATGAATAAGTACAAATTGATATAGCAGTGGCTCATTGTTCATGTTTTATTTTTTCTTTAGGCCCGAACATTGGGAATCTTTTACCCAGAATTTAAGACTTCTCGTGTCAAACTCATCAGCTTTAAGAAACTCTAAGAATATTTCTCCGGAGGCTTTGCTGCAGTTAACATCCAATAATCATGTAGTCCTCTCTAGAAAGCGCAAAACAAGCTCACAGAAAAAGTTTCATGCTGTAGTGGCGTCTGGTTCGCTTGCATCTTCTGCAGATCAGTGTCATGGTGCTAGTCCATCAGTGCTGTGGCTTCCCATCGATCTCTTTCTAGAGGACACCATCGACGGGTCACAAGTAGCAGCTACAAGTGCTGCTGAAACACTCACCGGTATACATAGTACTCTAAGTTGTTAGTGAGTTTAACCTGCTCTAAATTACATTGCTAAACTGAAGTTGTATTGCAGGTCTAGTGAAGGCTCTGCAAGCAGTTAACTCTACAACCTGGCAGGACACTTTTCTTGGATTATGGATTGCGGCCCTAAGGCTAGTTAATAGAGTAAGAATTCATGATGAGTCCCTTCCATCCATTGTTAAGTTGTCTTATCTTAGCTTTCTTTCCTTCCTTTATTTCCCTTTGGGCAAAATTATAGGGAAACATGTTACCAGTCTCCAAAAAAAACAAATTGGGAAACTATGCTTCCAATGTGATATTGCAGGGAACAATTCAAGTTTAAATTCTGGAAAGTAAATCAATGCATTAGCTAAAGCTGAATTTAGGGTTGCTTTATTATTGAACCATTGCATTTCTTTCTGTAGNCGAAAGCGTCACCAAGACTTGCTATCTAGCCTTCAGCAACTTGTCGATTATGAAGGCTTGTTGACCCCACCATTGCCTGCTGCTCCATTGGCGAATCAAGCTGCCGCAAAAGCAATGATATTCCTTTCAGGTTTACGTGTTGGGAGTGGCTATTTTGAGGGAATGAGCTTAAATGACATGCCTGTCAATTGCGGTGAGTTATCTCTTTATTGAACTGCAAGAAATTTCAGTGCGTCTGTCTTGTATTAGTTGTCCCATGTGGTTTAACTTGCTTTATACTGTTACTTTGACGAAATTGCTAATCAAGTTTGCCTCATCTTCATCCATGTCAATGGTAAGTTAGATGAAACTCTCAATTTTGCCTTTTGTCCTCAGTTGAGTATTTATGTTATTTTCCTGTTTCTTCCCTTTTTTTGTTATATTTATTTATTTATTTTTGATGGGTGATTGCGTTCGAATGGTATGATTGGAAAACTTAACTTGATTGATGGTGCATCTGTTACGTCTCTTCTATGCACTAGTATGTCAGACTACTGATGTATGTTTTTATGCTAATCTCTAACAATTTGTAGCTGGAAACCTGCGGCACTTGATTGTGGAAGCTTGCATTGCCAGAAGCATTTTGGACACGTCTGCTTATTTGTGGCCCGGATATGTAAAAGGTAGATGTGATCAAGTGCCTCGTAGTGTCTCGGCCCAAATGCCTGGCTGGTCATCATTGATGAAGGGGTCTCCCTTAACTCCTCCAATGGTCAGTTCTTTGGTATCAACGCCAGCATCAAGGTACAACTGAGTTGTCAATTAGAAAGTTTTCCTTGTCTCCTAATTTGCTCGTTATCTTCTGCCCGGAACACTTGCTTCGAATAGTAATATTCTACATAGTGCCACTGGTTCATGTTTCCTAGTTGGAGTTTTCAAACATGTTGAGAGCGTGAAAAGATAAAGATAAGAGAACTGATGCACATATAACTACTCACAAAACGATACTCTCCGACTGAAATAAAGATAGGCCTTCAACATGAAGTATTCCATCCAAGCTGGCTTATAAAACGGGCCGTAGTGGATCAGAATCTGAATTAATATGACTAAATAATAAAGTTCCAGAAGTTATAAAAAATGCTCAGCCTACTAGAGTTCGGGAATGGTTGGAGAGGTTATGGGAAATAGGCCAGATTGGCAGAAATTAAAAGATTTTATTAAAAAGGAATTTCATGGGCTCTAATGGCAGAAGGCAGATGAGTTTTTATGCTAATTTTGAGTAGGTGGAAAGAAGATAGTAATGAAGAACATGGTAGAGAGGGAGTGATGAAGATTGGATGGCAAACCAACTATAATGGAAAAGAAAATTATGGTGAATTAACTACTAAAAAAGAAATTCCCTTGAAGGGTCAATCTCATATTTGCTCTAACTTTGGATTATTTTACTAGAAAAAAATCTCTTAAAAGTGCAGTAAATTGGGCAATAGATCTGGTTTAAGGGTTAGTAATTCGGCTTTCAGTTTAATCAGTCTATATCTCCGAGGGTATGGCATGTTAGTAGTCTAAAATTGGAAAATGCAGTTGTGCAATCAAAATCTTCCCTTATTTTTCCTAGCAACTGCCTGGTCTTCAGTTAAAACCTTTTCTCTCCTGAAGCCAGGTATATCAGATCTTCTTTTTCGAAATTTATACAGTGGTATGGAACTGAAATTAAGCTCATGGATTTGATGGAAGTTTAGCAGAAATAGAGAAAATATATGACATTGCCGTCAATGGCTCGGATGATGACAAGATTTCTGCTGCTACTATTCTCTGTGGTGCCTCTCTTGCTCGTGGTTGGAATATACAGGTAATACTTGCCTTTCTCTCTAGATAAAGTGGGGTGTATTTTACTATTTTAGGTAGTTGAACCTCAAAACTCTCTTTGTTCAAAACCTCTAGAGTCTAAATTATTTATGAAAACTTTCTTTCTATATGCAGCAGGGTTCGAAGCCCTAGCATGCTTCTAATCCACTCATCACGCGCTGCACTCTTACTACTAGACCAAAGCCTAGAGGCCTCACCTGGACACCATTTTCAAATCCCATTAACATCAAGAGATGAAGAAACGGCTTAGTTTCCCCCTTCCACTGTTGGCAGTTGGTTTAGTGAGACTAATAGCCTGTTTGGCCAAGCTTCTAAAATCAGCTTATTTTGAGAAGTGTTTTTCTCAAAAGTGTTTTTCAAAAAAAGTACTTTTGATGAGAAGCAATTTGTGTTTGGCTACTTAGTTTGAAAAGTTCTTTTGAGTAGCAATTAGTGTTTGGCCAAGCTTTTAAAAAGTGCTTCTAAGTGTATTTTTCTCAAAAGTACTTTTCAAAAAAGTGCTTTCCGAGAGAAGCTACTTTTTTCTGCTTCTCAAAAACTGCTCATGCTTCTCCTCAAAAGCACTTTTTTTCCCTCCAAAAGCTTGGCCAAACACCTTAATTTTAGAAAAAAAGCACTTTTGACCCAAAAAAAAGCACTTTTACCTCAAAAGAAGCTTTGGCTAAACAGGCTATAAGAAAAAGAATGTATCTGGTGTGTATGCAACTAGGATTGGAGAAGGCAAGACACTACCCGCTGGTTGGCGGCTCGTATGACTTGTAGAACAAGGGGCGGAACGGTAGCAGCCTAGCAGGTGGTGACAATGAAGATTGATGGACGACGAGAAGGAAGAAAATAGATCTGGAGTTACGAAAGGAAAACCCCTTAAGCCAACACGGAAAATGACTCACTTTGGAAGAGTGATTTTTTTCCCTCGAAGACTACCTTAAGATACTCTGCCTCAGTAATTTAGGGCACATTACTTTAATTTGAGCTGCCAAAGAAATTAGATAATAGTGTACTTGTATTAGAAGTTGGTTTCCGCTAAGTCATTATGAAAATTGCCATTTCTATGTCGACAGACTCATTTCCTCTGTGTTTCATCTGCATGTTTGCAGGAACATACTGTTTTGTTCATCACCAGGTTGCTTTCGCCTCCTGTTCCTGCTAATTATTCTGGAACTGAAAGCCATTTGATTGGCTATGCTCGATTCCTGAATGTTCTTCTCATTGGAGTGTCATCTATTGATTGTGTTCAGATTTTTTCTCTGCATGGATTGGTACGTTGAACTTCAGCTTCACCTATCTTGTTATAATTTACTTTAAATGTCACCTATGTTGCTTGTGTGGCTGAAAATCACATTAAAAAGCAGAGAGTCTAGCTTACAGTTGCATGGCCACTCATCCTTGAAACCTGATGACAAATGTTCAGAAATGAATTCTTCTGTGTACACTTCATGAAAAGTTGATGGTATCACAAATAAATTTGGAAAAATATATCTGTATGCAATCAGGGGCCTGTACAAATATTGGAAACTTTAGCCATGCCACAAATGAAGCCTGAAATAAAGTACCGTCATTTATGTACCTTTGAGGGCCTTGAAGCCTGAAATAAAGTACCCAGGGTTAGCAGCTGTCATAAGATTAGGATGGAGAAAACCAGGCTGTTCATTTTGTACTAATGTCTATGCGTTGCATTTTCCAGGTTCCACAGCTTGCTGGTGCATTGATGCCAATTTGTGAGGCCTTTGGTTCGTGTGCACCCAATGTGACATGGATTGTAATGTCTGAAGAAATTTCTTCACATGACATCTTCTCGAACGCATTTACTCTTCTGCTGAAGTTGTGGAGGTTTGATCAGCCGCCTCGTGAGAATGTTATGGATGTTGTTCCAGTGGGATCCCGTCTAACTCCTGAATACCTTTTGCTGGTGCGCAACTCCCAGTTGGCATCCTCTGATGATCTGCAGAAAGATCAAAGCAAAATCAAGCGGCTGTCTAGACTTTCAAGTCCATTATCTGGAGAACCCATATTTATGGATTCTTTTCCAAAATTAAAACTGTGGTACAGGCAACATCAAGCATGCATTGGTTCACCTCTCTCAGGTCTTCTCCCTGGAACTCCTGTTCACCAGATTGTTGAAGCACTGCTGAACTTCATGTTCAGAAAGATAAATAGAACTGGTCAGTCTCTGGCACCAACTACTTCTGGAAGCAGTAGCTCATCCGGGCCTGGAAATGAAGATGTATTTCTCCACCTTAAGCTGCCTGCATGGGATATTCTGGAAGCTGTTCCTTTTGTGCTTGATGCTGCTCTCACTGCATGTGCTCATGGTAGATTGTCACCACGTGAACTAGCCACAGGTTAGAGAATCTAGCCTTCAGGAGCACTTGTTTAATATACTAGACAGCCGAGCATGCAAGGACACTTTCAAGACAGAAAGAGAGATGTAGCTTTTAAGACCAATTATCAGATATAAGAGACGTATTGTGCAATGCTACGATGGTAACTCTACATCAAATAAAAATGGATAGTCAGACCTCCACTTTCATCTGGAGGCATAAAGTGTTGATGGGAGATATATCATATCCCCATCCTACCCACCTCCCCTTTACCTGTCCAAGACACACATTCTCACTCAAAAGAGAGGAAACAAAAGAAAGAAAAATGAAACTAACATGTATTTCTTAACTTGTGATTTTGCTGGTTCTCTGTTTAAGTCAATGAATTGTATGTTTTAGTATTTGACAGATGCATTTTCCCAATCTCAGGTCTTAAGGATCTGGCAGACTTTCTCCCAGCGTCTTTGGCAACCATCGTAAGCTACTTTTCAGCTGAAGTGACACGGGGTATCTGGAAGCTTGCTTCTATGAATGGAACTGACTGGCCAAGCCCAGCTGCAAATTTAGCAACAGTGGAGCAACAGATAAAGAAAATTTTAGCTGCAACAGGTGTGAATGTCCCAAGTCTCACTGTAGGTAAGCACTTATCTAAGTTGAAGCGATTACATTCTCAAGGTCTAAAGTGTGGCGTAAGAAACCTGCTTCCTGCTTCTCGTTTAAGTACAATCTTTTCCCCATACCTATTGATTTGGCACCTACTGGATATACCAGTTATCTCTGGTGATAATTTCTCCATGGGTGGGTGGAAATGTCTTCTCTCTCTCTCTCTCTCTTGCTATCACATGTGGGAGGTGGAGATAATAGGGTTTGATCCCTGTACTTTTAGAGAACCAAGTTATGCCAGCTAAACTAACTTGTTGGTGCTAAGATTGACCTCCCAATCATTGATGCATGTAAAACCGGTCTCTATCATTGATGGATTCAAAAGCTTTGCTATACTCACCTGGACTTTCATACATATCCTGTCCATCTGTTTCGGGTTTTAACTGTTCATTCATCTCTTTCTGCATGTCTAGCTTATGCTTTTCTGTTTGTAGGTGGAAATTCTCCAGCTACCCTTCCTTTGCCCCTGGCTGCCCTTGTGAGCCTCACCATTACATACAAACTTGATAGATCAACTGACCGCTTTCTGAACCTGATAAGCCCAGCCTTGAGTAACTTGGCTACAGCTTGTCCTTGGCCCTGCATGCCTGTCATGGTTGCACTATGGGCCCAAAAAGTGAAGCGGTGGAGTGACTTTCTTGTTTTCTCTGCATCCCGGACCGTGTTCCACCACAATAGCGATGCAGTGGTTCAACTGCTTAGAATGTGCTTTGCAGCTACACTAGGTCTAACTACATCTTGTATCGCAAGCAACGGCGGGGTAGGTGCACTTCTTGGTCATGGTTTTGGCTCTCATTTTTCTGGTGGCATCTCCCCTGTTGCCCCTGGTATACTCTACTTGCGCATCCATAGAGCTGTCCGAAATGCCATGTTTATGACCGAGGAAGTCGTCTCCCTTTTGATGCATTTTGTCAGAGATATCGCAAGTAGTGGATTACCTGCTGAGAAATTGGAGAAACTAAAGAAAAGTAAATATGGTATGAGGTATGGTCAGGTTTCTCTTGCTGCAGCAATGACTCGTGTTAAGCTTGCAGCTTCACTGGGTGCTTCATTAGTTTGGATCACAGGTGGTGTAGCTTTGGTTCAATCATTGATTAAAGAAACCTTGCCATCTTGGTTCATATCAGCACATGGGTCGGAGCCCAGTGGTGGGATGTCAGGAGGGCTAGTTGCAATGCTGGGGGGTTATGCCCTCGCTTACTTTGCAGTGCTCTCTGGAACATTTGCATGGGGAGTGGATTCATCATCACCTGCATCCCAGCATCGATCAAGTATTCTTGGGGCACACTTGGAGTTCCTTGCCAGTGCCCTAGATGGGAAAATATCCCTCGGTTGCAACAAAGCTACCTGGAAGGCTTATGTTTCAGGGTTCGTCAGCTTGATGGTGGGATCCACACCAGGCTGGATGCTAGAGGTGGATGTAGATGTTCTGAAGAGGCTAAGTATGGGTTTGAAACAGTGGAATGAGGAGGAATTAGCATTGGCTCTTTTGGGTAGTAGTGGTATTGGCGCAATGGGCACGGCTGCGGAAATGATTATAGAAGGTGGTTTCAACTTTGTTAGATGAGTTGGGGTTCAGTTAATGTTACTCCTACAATAGTTTGTACTCAAGCGAGAGACTTGCCTGTACCATTGCCTCTCAGATCATCAGAGGAGCTTTAGCTTTTGTACAAGTTTTGATTTTGTACATATACCATGTAGATGAGCATAGAAACCAAATTATTGAAACCTCTTGCTCATATGAGTAGGAATTCTTTTTTTTTTGAACTTTGCTATTTTACTGGTGTTCCTTCCCTAGCTGTAGTACTAGTGTTATCCTTGTGTTCCTTATGTTTAGTAGCACTAGTGTTATCTTACCCGAGGTTCTCCTTGCTTCGTTTTATTACTATTTTGTTTGTTGTAGTTCTCTGTCGCTGATGTGATTTTATTTTATTGTATTGAGTCGAGGGTCTTTCGCAAACAGTCTCTCTACCTTCACAAGGTAAGAGTAAGGATTGCGTATATACTACCCTTCTCAGACCCTACTTGTGGAAATATATTGGGTATATTGTTGTTGTTGTTGCTATTTTACTTATGTTGGTACCATGTGGGAGTATTAGTTGGCAATCTGTCTCAGATATATGTATTTTATGATATTTCACTAAAGTTCGTGTTAAGCAGTTAATCTTTTTATTAGAATGGAATTAAGTTGAACTAATCAAGGCCTTATTTTGTCAAGAAAATTCATTTAGTACGAGACCCAAGATGACGTGGCCGACAATAACGCTAGTTCAGTTCTGGGCTAGATGGGAGAATCTTGATTTAGTTCGATCTACTCTTCTCCTTGGTGGATCGAATAAAACATTAAGATTTGGGTCAAAACCAAAAGTATAATTGGGTCAAGTGTACATATAGCTAATCTCATGATGCTATTTAGAGATTAATTAGTACTTATTTTGTTTCAAAATATTAAACCAAAAAATCGGGACAACTCATGACATTTTTGTCCTGAAAATTTGAACTGGAAAACTGAAATTCAGGACGTACTGGCTAATTCCTAAATAACAGTCCTTTAGAACAAATACTTGGTGTCATTTTTACGGTATAATTTGACCAACAAGAGGATTAACAACCTCCCGAAACAAAATTAATATCGTATTTAGAATTTTGTCATACTATAATGTATGAGTTTAGAAAAGTTCAAATAAAATGAGAAGCAGGGAGATAACAAACAAAAGAAGGAAATTAAGAAGAGCAAGTCTAACTTAAATGCTAAAACGCCTCCACCTCCCCTCAATAGCTTCTTGTTTGATTCATACTGAAGCAAAATGTTTAACTTTTTACAAAAAAATTATTTACACAATAATGCCATTAAAATTTAATAATGACTAACTGTCTATAGTAAGTAAAGATAGGTAAGATTCCAAATATCTGAACTAATATTTAAAAATTATTTCAAATTAGTGTTTATTTAGCAAATTGGCTCATATTTCAACTTCAAACTTTGAAAAACAGAAAAATTAAACTGTGTTTCATATCCAAACATAATTTTAACTTTCAAATACTCTTCTTAAACTTCAACTTCAAATCTTAATTTTCTCAAATCTCAACCAAATCATGTCGAAGCACCTTAGAAGTATGTTAGGCTATAACATAATCAAAATATCCAACAATTAAAATTCTCACTCCCTCATTTATTATTATTATTATTATTATTATTATTATGGTTTCTAAGTCAGCTTGCGTACTTCCTGAGTAAATTAGTGCTTTTTTCTTTCTTTTTTGGGGGGGAGGGTGTAAGGAGGACTACTTGAAGGACTGTATAAAAATTGATGGGATTTAATCTCAATATTCTTTTTTCTTTTTTTAAAAAAGGGGGGATTTATCCGGGGTTTTAGGGACAGCCATTAACCAGCAAGAAATGGAGGCAATAGGTCTGTCCCTAACATGCACTGCAATCCCTTGCGTCTCTTCTTCAGCTTCATCTTTTTCAAGAACTCCATCACTTACTCTAATCAAATATTCACCCAGCAGAGGTCAGCTTCTATTCTAATCTCTGTAATCATATTTAGAGTTTATTACTATATAAGATTGCAGCATCTAAAAAGTTACAATCTTTAGCACTGCATAGAAGAAGAAGCAAAGGAATCGAGGAGCAGGATCTGTATGGCCTTCCAAAGGAATATTATGATGATGTATGTTCTTTTTTTCCCATCATCTATTCTTGTTTCTAGGCCTTTTTTGTCTGTTTCTACTTTATGTTTTAGTATATTCTTCCATCTGACCAATGAATTATATAGTTTGATTTGATTACCACTTTCTAGTTTAATTCTTGAAAAGGGTAACAAGAGAAAAAAAGGGGGGTTACGAGGGTCAAAGCTTCCATAATTCAGTGTGAATTCCGACACAATCTCTTAAGATTTTTTAAGTAAAATTTATATAATTGGAAAATTGAAGTGCATGAAAAGTATTATGATTCACAGTATGTTACAATTAAAATAGTAAAAAATGTTTTGAAAAAAATTGAAAAGGCTCTCTGACTCCTTAATATAAATAATAGTGTAGTATAAGATTTGACTGAGTGGAGTAATATACAAGCAAAAGTAGAGGAAAAGGAAAGTATAATGTTATATATTCTTTTGAAAGTTGGTGCTAACCTTACGCTGGTTAGGAATGGCAAGCTCGACAAAGGGAAAAGACTAAGGAATTGCATAGACTACGTCAACAGGAGGATGAGGAAGAGGAAAAGAAGGTTGATGAATATCGTGAAATTGGATTGCGCTTGAAAAATTATCCAGAAGAAGAGCTTCTAAAGGCCAAGAAATTGGTTGCAAGCTTCATTAGATCAGCCGAAGAAGTGGAAGAGGTGAACTACTTTCATTTCTAATGTGTATTCTTATCTTTTTCTAGTTGTATATAGATAAAATACTCTAGGTGTATGAGGCTTTCCATGTGATACAACTATATTTGTTTTTTAGAAGATTAGAGTTACAATTGCACCCAAGGGTGTGGCCTAGTGATCAATGAAGTGAGTTGAGAACCATGAGGTATCAGGTTTAAACCCCAGTGGAGGCAAACACACTAGGTGATTTCTTTCAATATGTCCAAGCCTTGGTGGACAGAGTTACCTGGTACCTGTTGTTGGTGGGAGATAGCAGGTATCTCGTAGAATTTGTCAAAGTGTGTACAAGCTGGCCCGAATACCACCGTTATATAAAAAGAAAAAGAAAAAAAGAAGAAGATTAGAGTTGCAACCTTTATGAGAATATAACATTATACCTTGATAAGTATTCTACTTACTTACCCAGCCAAGGAGAATCTTAACAATGTCAAACTTGTTATGGAGTTGGTGTAAATACAAACAAGAAAATTACTAAGTGCTGTCATTTTCTTTTTCCTTTTTTCCCCTTTAAAACAAGAATGAATTATTCTCTTTAGTCCTACAATGTCTTAATGAAGAAATTTAGTAGCAAAAGGATATCTTTTTACCTTTTTCTACCCACTGTTACCTCATGTCCCCTTCAAGAGAGTTAGAAGCAGAAATCCTCGTTTCTCAAGGATATAGTTCCTCTTGTCAGTTGCTAATTCAAAGATGTTCAATTAAGTCATTGATCTTGTTGATTTATGTGACCTTGAGAAAACTAATTGAAGAGTTTATTTTTGGATTTGTAGATTTCTTTCTTTTCTATTTCTGTAGGTTGCAGAACTAATCCCAGCAACCCTTCTCTCTTACGGGACTTCATTTCCTGACTGGTTATGGTGATCTATCGTGTTATTAATTTAGCCTTTAAAAACTCTTCTTGCTTAGAAAATCTATCTCTCTATCTATCTATTATAGTAACTACTTGGATGTGGCATAGATTACATGACCATCTTCTTGTTAATCCAAGGTCTTGTATGTTCTTTTCACCCGGCGGGAAGAATTCCAAAATATTGTCATGTTGACTGTCAAATTAGCTTAAGTGAGCACTTTGAATCCAATCATATGTGAGATTAGCGTACGGCTTGACGTACCAAGTGCCAGGTGTCACGACCAAGGCTTGATCTTACCTTAGGAAGTTCGGCAGTTACTTCCTCACATAAGTGAAAAAGTAACAGTATCCTTTTTGTTTTCTGTGAGCCAGATTTACCTGTTGCTTATTCATGATTGTAATTTGCTGCAACTCCCTTGTTCGTTTGGTTTGATCCTGCAATAGAACTATTGTAGTTTATCATGCCATAATCATTTTTGAACTGCACATACTAGAATTTGGGTCACTCGACTAAGTTCCAATTTTTTTTATAACCGGGAAACCCCGAGGACCAGTGGTACACGGTTTGGACCCGCCCCTCTACCGTTCTCCACTTAAATACCAGGCTCTTGTGCATGCGCCTAAAAGACACATCATTGTGTTCTTACCACTAGACCAGTGTTATCAAAGGCGAAAAGCGCAAAAAAGCTCTACGGTCTATTGGGGCTTTAAGCGCAAAGCGCAAATAAAGCGTGGGCTTTAATGAAAAAAGGCGCAATTGGAGAAAAAGTAAAAATATGTATATGTAGTCCAAGACTAATAATTATAAGCATGAATAACAAATATATGGACAAAGAAATTGAATTTTTTTTACAATAAAGCGAAATATCAATTGTTTAATGTCGCATTTTCAGGATTACACTCATTGGCAAGGAAAAGTATGCCATAGAGCCTTGATGCGACACTAAAGCGCCCACAAAGCGAGGCGAAGCGCTCAACATGTTTTGAGCCTCGCTTCAGGGCTTAAGCGCGCTTTAAGCGCGCCTTCGACAACACTGCACTAGACGAGCCCTAGAGACCATTTTTTTCCTTTCTAAATTCCAATGTTGCAATAGCTTTCTTATTGGACATTGTTTCTTGTTTTGATTCTTATGTGCAGAAAATTGAGGAAGCTGCAGAAAAAGGTGAACTCGATGAACTTGTTCTGTTGATCATATGGAATCGGCTTGATCTTGCTCGGCGTGATGTAAGTATTTTACTGCTATCTTTTCTTTCTATGACTACTCAATGACCCTTATCCACTTCTTTTTCCTGTTTGTGCGGCGGATTTGCCTTTTGGGCATCACTCATCAGTATAAGAGTCACATTCACCTTAGCATATTCTTTATTTCATGAGCTAAGATTTTTGGTTTCAATTGCCAAAGGGGGAAACTGTGTCTGCTTCAAAATCTAGCACACTTATGCCGTAGCAAATTTGGATCTGAATCTAGACAGGGTTTTCCCCGAATAAAATGGCTCTTGTTTAAATGAGAAAATTTAGAGGACTTACTGTAATGATTAAATGATGAAGTGCAACATGCATGATATTTCATGCAATTTTCCTGTTAGGTATTGTTCCTTGACAATTCTTTGGTTTCCATCTTGGTGTGTTTAAAGTTCTTCATATGCAGTGTGCAATCTTAGCTTAGTATG